CCATCACGTCCATTTTGATGCGACGCTGCGCTGACCGGCGCCAGCCACTACGGTGCACAGGGCCGAGCCGCCATCATCAGCTTGCGATTTATGCCCATGCAGCCAATGTCTGGAGCACATTTCGCTATCCCCCATCGCCCTGTAGACCGTGCGCATTTGTGAACCGAGTTGACAGCCACGTCCCGCCACGGCAGCGATGAGCCAAGCCATGCTTGTCTTCCCCTATTCCTTTGTCGCCGTGGTCGCCAGACCCGCGCCTCTCAATTCGGGTCAATGGAGGCACCTCGGTCCAATTAACCCCGTCCGCGGCTCCGTCGTGTAGTCAGCCAACCAGCTGACCCCAGCTTGCAGTGAGCCTTGCCGTGCCATGCTCCAATTTGGAGCTTCCTTCCCGTTGGGTCAATAAGTCCATCTCGGCACGCGTTGATGGCAAGCCCCCAATCTAGTGTTGCTCGCGTTCAATTCCTTGCACCGCCAACTTCGCCTCCACCTACTCATCACCCTGCGCACCCTTGCCTAGTCGCTACCACCCCCTAGCCACCCCTGACGCAGCCTTGCCACCGCCGTGCACCACCGCACCGTCTGTGCGCACGTGGCCAGCTTGGCTCGGGCCACCTCCGGTCGAACCGCCACCTCGTCTGGGTCCGTGGTGAGTGTCTGGAGCTCACTCGCTGCCCTAATTACCCCGGCGTTATTGTAACTCACCAGAACGCCACCGCTGTGATTGCAGGAGCTCCGCCGCCATGGACCGGACTTACTACGGCGTCCTAGCTCGTGCTTTCTTCGCCCATCGTCTCACGCTCGTGCCTAGGTAGATATTGGCTCGCATTTGGGGGCGGGGAGGGACTGGTCTGGCCGGCGTAACCGCCCGGTGCTAGCGCCGCCACGGGTGCGCGCGCGGGGGCCCCGAGGGTATGGCCGTGGTAAAGATGGAAAGGGGGAGGGGTGTAATTGTAAGATAGCAGACTGGCAGAATAGTGCTCTTAGTGCTCGCGCGATTACCGGGTAGGCCGATGGCATTTTCGCAAGATGACCGGCGCGCGCGGGTCCTCCCCGTCGTGGGCCGTCGTCGCATGGACTGGGCCACGTCGTGTGTCGCGTGCTCGCCCGTGTTGCGCTAGAGTGGGCCGAGCCACTCGCGCTTTGGGCCGCGCGGTAGATTTAGGTTTTCCATTTTCCAGTAAGGTAATAAATGTTTATTCAATTTAGTTGGAGCTAAACTTTGAAAATTTATAGTAAAGTTTATAGATGTCCAAAAATAGTGAAACAAAAATTGTTAGGTTCACAAAAATGCTATCTATCTGTTGGTGTAGTTAGTTTATAGTTAGCTGTGATATGATAGACTCATAAATTCACTTTAGAAAACTTAGTATTATTTAGCTTAATATTTGTAGAAATTTTTGTGGCAAATTTGTGATAGCTTTAGCCATGAAATTTTTATGGTAGGCTCAGTAGATTATTATGTACTTACTGTAATTTTTGTAGCCCTAGAGTAGGTTGATAAATAGAGTAGCTAGTACCCCTTATTTTATCATGTATAGAGTAAATCGGTATTAAGAGTAAGAATACGTTTAGTTGCTAAGATAATATGTCATGCTTCATACTTGTTAGTGGTAACAGTAGGTAACTTAGCACCTGAGTCGGTAGAACTAGCTTAGTAGCTTGATAGATGTGTTTGTATTTTAAGAGTTATTGTTGTCGTATTACTAAGTGTTGCATCATCATTTCATGCATGTAGATCACGAGTTGGTAGAGTTCGTGCCTGTGGACAAACAGGACTACGAGGAGATTATTGAGGAGTACGAGGAGGAGGTCCTCGTACAGGAGGGAGCCCCGGAGCCATTCGTCGCTGACTTTGTTGACACACCGCCTGCCCAAGGAAAGCCCCGGTGCGTAACCCCTATTTTTGAATGATCACTGAATATATATATGACGTGCATTTACGTTATAGGCATTTTATGAAAACTACATGCATAGATATACTTACCTATGAGCCCTACTAGTATAGGTCGAGTAGCTGCTATGCTCAGGGTATCGGTAGCGTGAGTAACCTGTCGTTACTCACAATAGATAAAAATTATGATCACTCATGATAAAATGGTGGAAAGGAAAATGCAGACCGGGTAGGGATATGGTTTGGGTATTGGTGGATGTAAGAGGTTGTGTCCTGCGGCCAACAGGGCATAGCTTGGTTACACTTTTTCCCTGTCTGTGTCGGTTAAGGACCGGCCGTTGCATAGGTCTCTAGGCAAGTCACAGATTCATTATCCCGAGCACATACTTGGGTATGGACGTAGGGAAGACTTGTTGCTCTCTTGTCGTGGGTTTCGGCTCTTTCCGGACCGACTGGTTGAAGGCAGGGATGATGGAGGTCCTTGCACCGCACTAAGTCTAGGACTGAGAAGCGGGGGCTTGGAGTCTAAGTTTGGACGGGACCTGGGCCCCGTGATAGGAGGGTGATGGGTTGGTCCTGCTTGTGCCTGGGGTACAAGCGGGGCGTGTGATTTTGGGGTACCCAGCTGGGGGCATTGATTCGAGAATCGCCGGACAATCCGGTACGGCTTGTCTACGGTCTAGTACCATAGTAAGAACTGAAAGATGAAAGGTGATGAAATGGGACTAGTTGCTCAACTCTTGCTTAAAAGTAGAACAGGTGCTTACATAGAATGTCTAGGTGATGAATTAATCATGGCTACTAATAATAATAACATAAATAAGGATTCACTATTAGTATTGCTTTCTGCAAAAAGAAACCAACAAAACATAAAGCTTATTATATTCCTTGAAGTCGGGAAATTATTCTCACTAGTCGGATAAGTCTTGCGAGTACATTGTGTACTCATGGTTTATTTACCCCTGTTGCAGGTACTGTTTGAGACGTAGCCATTGTGTGAAGGATTCTTCTGGTGGGCACAGACGAATCCTTGGTTATTATCGATAGATGTTTACTTGATATTTAGTTTTATTCCGCTGTTTAATATTCCGCACTCTGACTTTGGAACTGTAATAATATATTTCTGAGAACTCTGGAGGTATGAAATGAATTAAGTATTGTAACTCGTTCTTATTATTGGATCCTTGGGAAAAAATGTGGATCTTTCGGGCTCTCCCTTGGGGTGTGCCCGACGGAACCCGCCCGTTATAGCTTGCTTTCGGGGTGCTTAGTGTCTGATGGAAGACGAGCGCCTTCGTAAGTACGTTATTTCGGGCGGTTCTACCACAGTTCATACTTGGTAACAAAGACCAGAGAGCATAAACCATTCGGGAGAACAAAAGAAAATTCCTTTAACGTTCCGGATAAAAATCAAGGAGAAAACATTGAGGATAGAATCCTTGGGTTGATACCATAATCTTCATTTGGTCCAAGCTAAAGACCATGGTGTTTGCGATTCAGCAACCAAAACTTCGCTCTTGGGAAAATAGATGACTTCGCGCTGTGGAGAAAGTTTCAAAAACCAAAGAACCAACCTTCAAGTGATAGCCTGGTCCGGAGGAGGAATGAAACCATCTCTTGCTCAATCTCTAATTCGAGAAACCCAGATGCGGCGGTTGGCGAGCTTAGACTTTTTAGTTCAATCCAAGTGGCTTCTTCATCTTCACCAGAATACCTTCGGAGATGAGAAGAGTGGTTTTCATTATTTCCCCTCCACCTTCCCTCTCCCCCTTTATAGAGGAGGTGAGAAGAGTGGTTTTCATTATTTTCCCGGGGGCTTGTATTTTTTTTTAAAAAGTCTCTAGAGGCTATAGATAGGCCCTAAACATTACCTGCTAAGCCCCTAGGTTATGTTCCCCGAACACACTAATAGGGTCCCAAACATATAATACACCCCAACGTGCTCTTTAATATTAAGGAAATGATAGATAGATATACATACTTGTGTATTGACTTATATAACGATAGATAGATACACATACGGATTTGCGAAACTATCTCTCGCTGTATGCAAACCATCTCATTCACTAAGAGCCTGTTTGAAATGCCAGAATTTCACAGGCATCAATTCAATTTCATCATAGGAAAGAAGACAGAAATATGAAAATATTGGTCAAGTTCAGCCTTCAGGTGACATGACCTCCTGGAGGTTCAGTCCCAAAACAAAACAGGCGTACATATCACTTATTCAGGAATCAAATATTTTAAAAATGGAACAAATATATACAAAATTAATAATATTCATCATATGTGTAAGCACTATTACATTGATCCTAGAATATACTTTCATAGTAAACTTATTTAGAGTACAAATATCGATAATACTTTCCAAATAACTAGTATTTTTTTAAATGGCTTCTCAAGAAACAAAATATGTTTATTTTGAGACAGAGGAAGTAGTAAATAAAATAGTTACAATTTTGTACACATGATCAGCCAAATCTTGTCTTGCTGAAAAATGTTAGCAATACACCTTTCACACAAACGCAGCTCTTAAAACCAAAATATAACTATATGCAAGTTCAGCATAAAACGCTGTCCCCCACATCAGGTCATTATGCAACACAAAAAAATTAGCAATCTATAGTGTCAAAAACAACACGTCCTGAGACCAAAACATCTGGTTGGTTTGGTTGGGCGTTTTGCAGTTTCACGCATCTTTTGCAATGATCACTGTGAGAAACAAAGTGATTTTCTAGGTAACATGTAAATAAACTCTAAACAAAACAAAATGTGATCTGTTTTGAAACAAAAAATAAGTGAGGTCAGCTAATGCTCCACCGTTCCAATTATAGAAAACAAATGAAAATGAATATGAGATCGATTTCTTTATTTCCTTGGAACCAGCATGTCCAGAAGGCAACATATAAACAACACAATATTTACAAAGGAATCATATATAACGCCTCAAAAGACCTCAATATACAACAAGGGAAAAAATGCGACAAGGTAGACAAGCAAAGTGGGCCACCTAAGCATTTAGGATCAGACATCAGCTTATAACTGTTAGACGTCACACCATCTTAGTCAGCTCTCCAGCGTCCAAGCTCAACAGCTCGGTTTTAACTTACTCATCCAGCATAGTGTATGACGGCAGGTCCTTCACCTCCAGCACATCATCTAGAACCAGTTCGCGCTCCAGCTGAGTTCTTGTTGATTTCAAGACCTCCTGGTACAACAAAACCAAACAAGTAAGAATGCCACTGTCTTAAAACAAACAAAGAACGATCGATGTACTGAACACGCCAGAAGCTAACATTGAATTCCATATAGGAGGCACGTTTCACAAGCCACTGAGCATCAAGCAGCCGAAAGGCTACACAGTACAGGTGGTCAAAGGCATTCTCATCCCGTTCAAGAAATTCACGGAAACGAATTCCATACTTTGAAGATGGAACACCTGCATAAATACGACATTGTTCAAACCACGAAATACGGAATATGCCAGGTATGTGTAAAGGGGATTTGGCAAAGGAAAATTACTGGACTTTAGATCCAACATTTGGACCAGCATGAATGAAATGTTGATACCAGCAACTGCAAAAGGGTACTCCCAATCTGCTCTCTGCCCTTGCACTTTGCTCAGAAGCATCTGAAATGAATTCTGCACCAGAATATATGTAATGGTGAATGGTCAAAAATCAAGAAATTAGAAAGATAACAGAAACTGTTATCAGATATAAGATCTTTACAGGGTAGTTCCTGGCAAAAAAGATGAGGTTCTCCAACGATACGAGTCCACCACCCCTGCATAAATGCGATCAGTATTAGATGGGTTTATCAACTGAGTTTAACATCTCCATGAGCACATTCTCAAACAATCAAATTACAAGAGAGAACCTGAAATCAGTAGATGGATCATTGCCTTGCCAACCCATCTCCTTCCATAATTCTGATTTGAGGGGTGGAATCTCACGAGTGGGATAAGCTAAACGCCAGAGTTGCCTCAAGGCGTCCTAATAATGATAATGCCGATCAATTATCAATTAATTTGCTTGCATGAGATGATGTCGACATAGAAAACCAATCTACATATGTTGTACGTACTTGATGTTCAATACGGGAGCCATCAAAAGGGATTTGCAATCTGCGTCTTAAAGTATTCAGCCTTTGTTCCTGGAAAGTTGAAGGTTCACCATTATTAAACTAATAACTGCAACCCTATTATGTAACTTTCTTTACATTACCTGTAGAGGGCTAAGATATACTGGATTGATTTGATTCTCCGAAGAGAAGGGGAATAATCTACCAAAGATAGATCCTGAGCTTACAATAATGCTTGCTGCAAGGAAGATAGTAAGAAACGAATATCAATTTTTGTAAGGAAAGACTAATTTTGTCACAGTTCATGAAAGAGTAGTAACATGGATTATCTAACTAGAAACACCAAACGTGTGAACAAGATGACCCCGTACATTCTGATGCAACAAATTGTTATGCCCACTGAATGTAGCCCTGTGAATATATTGTTTTCAGTTTTTATTTACAACTTATAGAAATGTAGTGCTAAAGACTAGAACATGGACTTCCGACTTATGAAAATGTACTCATTATCCTGCTTAGTTATTTGTGTTGATTGCTAGAATTATGTGCAATAGGTTCTCAAGAAAAGGAAAAAGATAAAAACTTTTACATTACTTCTAGAAGATGATGGCAATAGCAAATAATGAGAAGAACAATAGCGTAAGAGCAGCTGCATCCACTATCCCTTGATCTCTATATCAGCAACCAAACTAAATTCTACTCAATTTGTTTGAATGCACAAAAATATAACCAAGTCTGTTTGCATTCATCCAGTGGACAGTCAGCAGCGATCTTGTCATGGAACATTGGTTGTCCTGGAAGGGGAGGTGTCAAATGTGACACGATGGTTTGTACCCAGTGCAGAGAGCTCCCGCTCTGTGCGGGGTCTGGGGAAGGGTGTTAGTGGCAAGCCTTACCCTCTCCTGTGCAATGCGTTTGTATACAGTCAATAGATATTTCATTTTGAAACAAGGTTTTGGGGGTCCAACTGAACTCCTATGGCCATGACCACAGCCAAGTCCGCCAGAAGTTAATTCAAACAGAGGGGGGTTACCAAATAGCACATTTTGTATTTGTTTAGCAGGGAATAGAAATGCATGCATGTTGAGTATGTGAAAACAGGCATATTAGCCTAGAATTTGAAGTATGGGAGTTGGCATAGTGTGTAGGTTGCTAAATGCTTAACCAAACTAGCCATCAAAACTAATTAAACTAATATTTAGTAAGGGCTACGAAGGATTGAAGAGCTGGTCAGTAAATCCTATCAAAAGGTATATAAAATCAGCAACTGAGAAAAGGACAATAACAGCCTAGTACTGTCAGGCATCGATGAATTTAATATTAACAAAGTAGTGGCTAAAATGAGAATTACCTAACCATTGTGCCCATTGTGCAATCAAGTTTGAGAAAAGAAATGACCAGTGTAGTTGTTCTTTCTTTCTATCATCATCCCACAGGTCCTGTCTTCTAGGATCATACACCTATAGGAGTCCCAAAAGTTTACTGATGCGTTACCAGAAAATATAGAATCCTGCATTCACGTAAACTGTAGGAAAGTGTCGAGGCAATTGTGAACCAGAAAAAAGACTAACCTCTGATCCAAAATTGTCATCGCTGGACTTCCCTAATAGAGATTCATTAAGGGAATCAGCACTGGATATGTCAACATGCTCATTTTTCCTTCCATCAAGGTCTCCATGATGGAGTCGGCGCCTCAGATTGGTAGTTGACATGAAGATCTAAAACTTACAAACCCGACTAAAAAACCATGCTGCGAAAAAATGAGAAGATAAACTTTATTACTTTAATAATTTGCTGCAGCAGAACCATAATACAAAATAGCATACAGCACATCATGCATTCATGTGCAAGCATCCAACCATAAGCTTCATTCAGAGTCTGCGAGATGGCACTGATGTATCGAAAGAACAACCCAACAGAGGATTGATTCTACGGAAAATACATGGCATGAAAATTTGGAGAATCTACTAGTCAGAGTTTGTAATCTATTTCTGTTGGGAGTTTCAAAGGTCCTGTGATTGCACAACAACACCGGAAGCAGCCCAAAAACATCATGCCCAAGCCCAAACCATTCAGGGTATCACAAAACTTAAATAGTAAGGTTTATAACTTAGCTTGAGCAATACACAAAGAATCCCCACAGGGCAACACAACGCTGCGTCGTCCATCAGATCCCCCTTAAGAATGCAGCAATCCAACCAAGCTGCTCTCCCAAAGTTCGAAACCCTAGTTCTCTAACGTTTCGATTTACCGTACCGTCCGACGAGTGTAAAGCTCGACCCTTCAGCTGTACCACTACCGCGCGCCGAACAAATTCAGAAAGGCGGAGAGAAGAGAAGAGAAGAATCGAACTCACCGACGGGTCCCGGCCGCGCAGGCGAAGAGGAAGAAGCCGTCCTGCCCTGCCGAAATTATTAGGTGCGTAGGGAGGGGGGGACGACTCGTCTCGAGAACTGGAGGTCGATTCGGCCTCGATGCTTTAAATGCGAGGAGACAAAAGAAAAACAAAAATAAAAAGAAGACAGACAGGCGAAGGGGAAGGGGAAAGAAGGTGCGGGACGAGAAGAACCTTCGGTGCAAAGGAAGTAGGAAGTAGGAACTCCAACATTGACTCGGCCGGCACTGCTGCCACCGAGACGAGCCCCCATGGGCCACAGGGGAAAAAATTCACATGCATACAAGATGCACCCAGGCAGAGTGCATACACACGGTAATCTGGTCCCACGTGGACAAATCAACAGCATCTACGGCATGTGCTCATCCGGTGGCAGTTCGTAACCATCCTCCCCAGCAGCATGGACGGACGAGAGCTGGAGCCGAGCGGCATGGGAGGGAAAAAAATTGTGTAGAAACCGTATGCAGCCTGGATGACTGGATCCGTGCATACATGCGTCGTTACTTGACGCGTGTTTCTGCTCCGTTCGTGGACGTCGTGGGCTGGGCTCGGCTGTAAGCACGGCTCCGCTACGTCTCCAGCACCTAAATCAACGATCAAGATTTCTTTTTATCCACACGCGTCCTCCATCCGAGAGAAGTTTCCACGGAGACTCGTTGCATACTGTTTCCATACAATTTTTTTCCCGCTGCTGGAAGATGGATGTGTGCATGCACGTAGCCTGGGTGCATACCGTATGCCTCTAATTTTCTTCCACTAATTTTCTTCCAGCCACAGCTAGCGTGTGGGCCGGTTTTGCAGGGATGCTATTAGGGGCGCGTTTAGTTCGGCAAAGTTTGCACCTACAAATTTTGTATAGTGCACGATTCTACACTGTAGCATTTTGTTTGTATTTGTGAATTATTGTCTAAATATTGATTAATTATGCTCAAAAGATTCGTCTCGCAAAGTTAAAGCAAACTGTACAATTAGTTTTTAATTTCGTATACATTTAGTACTCCATGCATATACCGTAAATTTGATATGACTAAAAATCTTTTTTTTTTCATAGTATACTTTTAGAGGGCTAGAGCCCGAAAGCTGCTTTACTCAGGCTCAGCGCACGCACGGCCTCCGAGTCCGACATGGCATCACACTGACTGGGCGCGTGCACTTCGATTTGGAAACGGAACGGAGAACCGATTCCGACGAGGAGAACTCAGTGCATCGCACCGCGCCGTCCAAACAAAACCTTAAATACAGCACCGCTCGTCCTAGGGCCGAAGAACTTGATACACTGATACGAGAAGCATACGGAAGAATGCTTTGTACTACACCCTCCGTCCAAGAAGAGTGTCGTTTTTTACGCATCTTATATGATCATCCGTCTTATTCAACTTTTCTATATAAATATCATCTATTTTGTTACGACTTATTTTATCATTAGATATACTTTAATAATAATTTATATATTTTATAATTTACACAAAATTTTTGAATAAAACGAACGGTCAAACACGATATCTGAAAGTAAAAAAACATCAGTCTTTTTGGGACGGAGGGAGTAGATACATATATGATGTTATAAATATCTGAGGGGCTAGTGCCTGGCGTCTGGACGCGCCGTCCGGACGCAGCTCTATCCCACCACCCGAGTCCGCATCCCATCCAGCGCCCGCGTCCTGGACGTCGCACCACGCCCCGCGCCCATTCCCATGCCCCACGTGGGTCCCGTCACCTGCCCTGCCTGCGGATGCACGCCACGGAGGCGTCTACTGGCCACAGGTACACGCACGGTGACTCACAACAGCGTCCCCAGCACCAGCAGGCAGATGTCCGCCAGCCACCAACGTCATTGAAACATGTGCTCTCCCGGATCTACTTTGAAACATTAAGATGAAACACTTGCAATATACGTCTGAAACAGATGAAACATTTAAAATATACGTTTGAAACATGCGTGTATAGCCATAGCAACATATGCAACATCGAGATCTACTTTTGCAGCATCCAGATGATATACTTGCAACATGAGTCTAAAACATCTGAAACACTTGAAACAGCTTGAAACATGTGTATAGAGCCATAGAAAACATATGCAACATCACGATAAAACACTTAAAACATATATTTGAAACACCTGAAATACTTGAAACATAGGCTTGCAACATGCATATATTGTCATTGCAACATATGCAACATCACATATCTACTTTTGCAACATCTAGATGAAACACTTGAAACACAAAGTCTAAAACGCCTGAAACTTGAAACACGGAACGTCACCGCGCGGCCACGGCCTACCTGCTATGGAACTACGCTAGGCAGCAAGTTCGAGTCATGGGAACGTCGAGAGCAATGGTTGGCGACCTCATCCTGATTGCGCGGTGCACGCTGTAGCTGCGACAGTTGAGGTGGATGGGGACACGACAGGGCATGCCCCACGCAGCACGGGATGGAACCGTGGCGCGGCGCGAGATTGGGGCGGGGCACGACGTGCGATGGTACGCGACACGGATGGTCGCGACAGAGTAGGGCCGGTGGATGGCGCGTCACGGGCGCTGCAGGCGAATGGCGCGGCGGACACGGCCGCTGCGAGCGAACAGCGCGATAAAAGCTGCCACTGCGGTCGGGGGTGGGGGATGTTCGCAGTAGGCAGATGAGTTGGAGAGGCCACGGGAGTGGGAAATGTTCGCAGCAAGCAGATGAATTGGGAGCCAGAGGCCCGTCTGTTTGGGACCAATCATTGCGCAGGGAACTGGGCGTCCAGACAGATACACCCGGACAAATGCCCCGCCCACAGCATTATCATATAAATATTGATACTCTTCTTTTAAAATCTTACTAGCAAATGTGCATGTGCGTTGCAACGGGACGCATAAGTTACTGTGTAGTCACTTAAACGATTTATCTCTGCACCTAAAAAGATTTCAGATAAATAGTTCACACGGCAAAATCTTCTCTGGCAAAAGAAAACGCTGACTCTAAAAAGAAAGGACTCTGGACGGGACCGAACTCTTGGAAAAAACGCTCCATAGGAAATCACCGGATGGGACTCTGGGACCAGAATGGAGGAATTGGATTAGACTCTGTGGATGGAAAAATCTCCAGCGAAAGAGAGGGTTTCATGTACACGGGACTTCGTATTAAGGATGGCAACGGATCGGGTTTGGGGCGGATATCCACGGGTTTCGGGTTCTGCGGGTTCGGGTTTGGGGCTGGTTTTTCACCCACGGTTTTCGGGTTCGGGGCCCCGAAACCATTCGGGTTCGGTTTCGGGTTCGGTTTTCCACCCGTGGATATCCAATGGATATCCGAAATAAATCATTTGGAATTAAAACTCATGCTTTATAATATACTAATAATAATTTGTTTACTTAGATTATTAAATTTATTTAAAGTTGACTCATGAAAATATTTATTATTTGTTGCCTCTTGTTTATACATGTGAATATGTGTATATATATCCACAGGTTTCGGGTATCCATTCGGGTTTCGGGTATCCGTTCGGGTTTCGGGTATCCGCGGGTTTAGTTTTGGTGATGGATTTCCACCCGAATCGGTTTTCGGGGCGGATTCAGGTTTCGATTTCGGGTTTCGATTTTAGGTGCATGGAGACTCCACCCGATCCGAACCCGACCCGTTGCCATCCTTACTTCGTATGCGCGTTCCAGGGAACAAAGTCTCGAGAACGAAGTCTATGCGGTTTCAGAGCCGAAGTCCAACCAGTCCCTGCCCCCACCTCCACTTCGCGCCCTGCTGGACGTAGACGATCAGGCCTCTAATTTGCTTGCCATGCATGCATGCATATGCGGCCCACATTGCTATCAAACAGTTGAGCCTCTGATTTGCTTGCCATGCGTGCATGCAACCTGCTATCAAACAAAAAAAAGAAAGAAAATCAAGCATGAACTCCATGCATCTATGTTTCCAAGTGAAAGGATCAAGATGTCCAAGAAATGGATGAATTAGACTAATTCTAAAATTCTTTACAATAGTTAAACCCTACACTTAGCCCACTTCACCCCTTATGCCTAAAATATGTTCCTATTATTCTACCGCATAAAAGTTTTGCACCATATGTTCCAATCCTACTCTAGCATGGCAATTCTAAGAATGTAAAGACAAAAAATAAATTGCTCAAATGTAAATGCTTGAAGTAAAGAGAGGAGAAGGAACACGACGATGTTTTGTCGAGGTATCGGAGAGTCGCCACTCCCCACAAGTCCTCGTTGGAGCACCAGCGCAAGGGTGTAGCTCTCCCTTGATCCGCGCAAGGATCAAGTGCTCTCTACGGGCTGATTCTTCGACACTCATCGCGGTGAATCGCCCACAACC